ATGCGAGTCGTCATCATTTTCTAAATATTACTAATAGTTCCTTTTCAATGAGGGGCTTCTGTTCTTTCACAGTTCCTGAAATAAAAAAAAACAGTTCAGTTGTGAGAGACGAAAATGCCACTGAACCGATGAAAATAATTTTCGTTATTGTCCTTTTAGAGATCAAATTTCTAAAGACTGGACTAATAAATGCAATTTTCATTTTGACATCATCACTTTAGTTCACAAAATTTCCTAACACTCTTACGAATCGATTGATTCGTTAGGAAGTTACAAATTACAAGATTCATTGACATCCATCAAATGAAAAAAATTGGTAGGTTTATTGCTTTATTGTCTCAACTACTAACTCAGTCATATCATTACTATTTAACCTATAGTTAGTCTATTTTCCGATGATTTTGGCCAAACTAGTTGACTAACTAATAAATTAATTCATGGTCAGGGCTAACATAATTTTTGAGCACGTGTTGGACGGCAGCCAATTGGCTTTTTGTATATGTTCTATTCGTATATCCTGGCTCAGTTTTTAGTGTTAACTACTTCGTAGCCGGGATCTACGGCTTTACATGTCCTCCGAAGTCCGGTGGTGGCTTAGTCAAATTAAAAATTGAAAAATTTCAGTTGTCTGTGGTGAGTTCGAACCGTGTTTGGTAAGCCAGTCCTTAGCCATTGAGCTATCACCACCACACGTGTTGGAAATACTTTATTAACAAAAAATGGCCCCACTATGGTACCGAAACATGCGTTTCGTTCTCGTGAACTTCTGATTTCTTTTTCAATGTCGAGATATAAATTTGTTATTTAACTTATCTATGTCAATATTTCAGGTTTAAAAGTATTATATATTATCGATTTGTTGGTTATAATATAAGAAACAGCATTGTTTATGTAAATGGCATTTTGAAATATGAATTATTTTATCATTTTCCAGGAATTATCTTAAAATAATATTATTTACTAAGAATCTTACTCCATGATTCATAAGATGATTTCACATGTTATAATATAATTTTCAGTGTTAATTTCTGGGCAGAACGATATCATTATATCATTCCTTTTGGTTAGTTAGCAACATTTTCATTATGTATGTCTTTGTTGTATTATTCTTTAAACACGTCACATCACTATGGTGTTAGCCATATCAGTGTGGTGTCACAGTAATTTTTTGTAAGGCGTTTGTATTCCGACCTGAATTGCTTATTTATACTATTTTTTACATCATGAATATATAATACGGTTTCATTTCAAAATAAGGAAAAATGTCAAAAATTGACGCGCTATAACAATTGCTGTGGTATAGATGTATGATTTCTGTTAAACTTACATACTTACTACATTTCGCCCTCGTATATATCCTCAGTTTATTTTTGACGATGTACCTACAGTTTTTTGATTGTAGTTTTCCATTGAGACATCTATGGTGCATCCTCTTGCTCTCCTTTTTCTTTTAACCGTATATCGTTTCACATGAGTAATCTTAGAGCGATTCTTCGCAGAATATTCTAAATACTGTTGTTACTTCTTGCTTCTAAGAAAAAATGTATTTTTTTTCCATTTTGGTACGAAAGTTTTGAAAGATTTATAGTAGATTCATTTTCAAGACAAGTTGAACTAACATAGCGAGACGTGTGATCAGGGGATGTGTTCTTTGTCATCAGAATAGGCCCTTCGGCATTTTAGAGATTGTACATACTTACAGACTGCGTGTATTTTCCCTATAAGTTATCTTTTTTATTACCATACCATATTTTATTCTTATTTAAATTAAAAATTATTTTACGTAAACTTTGGTTGAATGCAATCCTGCAAAGCACAACTTGCACAACGAAAAAATTGACGTTTTTAATATTTTTACTATGTAAATTAATTACTATAATTGGTGTTGACCCCTTAGCTAAGCGTATATAAATTTTAATTGACCAATATTAATAATGTATTTATTTTCTTACTTTAAAAGGTATAAATGTTGTAGTATCTAGAATCCCTTCGAAGTTACGCCAGTGCGACTTGGGTTCAAGTTTTTGAAATTGGAAATAATAAATTAGTAATTCTTGAAACACACAGATGTTTCTATGAGAATAAATTAAACGGGACAATATGGAAACCTATTTATAATTCATAATGGTTCTAAATAATATATTAATCTATTAAATAATATAAACGAAACAAACCATTAAAAAACGTTTTAATTAAAAATAAACTACTTTCTACTTAAGATAGTTTTTATCATTTGTTTTACGGAAATTGACGTCAAACGACGGCGACGTGGCATAGTTTATATGACCATGTATTTGACAATCAATTTTTATTTAAAGAACGGATTTTATGGTCAATTGGATAAGGCTAATCACTAATCTACAATCATTTTTGTGACCGATCAACGAATTTCGTAGAGTAGCAAGTAATTTAGTAAATAAATTTGTCCGGACCCAAAAATTTATTGGAATCGATCCATTTTGTTCTATTTTTTCGGGTAATTAACGCCCCACCACACGTCTTGCTCACTGGTCTAAACAAGTCGGGTTCATTAGCATTGAAAAATGTCGTTTTGCTGAAGCGGAGGAACAACTTTAAAATTGATTCTAAATAGTTACCTAAAATACGGATCTTTGTGAATATGAATTCTTTATAAAACAAATTTATTCGTCCGCCTCATCTCAATAGATATTACAAGTTAAAAATCTGCTAATCTTACCAAAAATCTGCTAAAAAATTAGAAACAACGCAAAGAGCGATGGAACGATTCATGCTTGGTATATAACTAAGAGACAAAATTAGAGAAAGACCGAGCTAAGACGTAGAACGAAGATTAGGGATATTGTGGAAGAAATTATGAAATGGAATTTCATTCGTATTCACGGTCTATGAGAAAAGTGACTGCAAGCGAGATCCTTTAGTACCCTTATTGCATATTTATCAAAAAGAATTTATAAATTAAATAAATATCCAAAGGTATACGCTTGTTCAATTAAAACCCATCTTTGGTCAGGTTGTTAGCCTTGAATACATTAGTCACTCTACTGACTCTGCAATGTTAGTAAACGTCACACTGTTCAGTTCTTATCATATGTATTTGACTGCGATTGTAAGTATTGTGACTTAAAATGGCACTTGTTTGACTTAAATATTGCAAATTTATACGAGAATGCAAACAGTGTATGGAAACGGCATGTTTTGCGTATTTAACTGTCAAGGAATGGTGTAAATTTAGGAGTGGAAGAGAGAAGGCGAATGATAAGCTACGACCACCTGGATTGAGTACTGCATCAACACACAGGAATGTGGCATGTGTGGAAGGCTTGATTAGATAAAATCGTTGAATTTTAATTAGATCAATTTCAGGAAAAGTTGGTTACGAAAAATGGATTACAGCAAAGTTTATACGCAGTGTGTTCCTTTTCTTGTGTTAGAGAACCAAAAAAGCTTGGCTAATGATTTTATCTTTGCAACATCCCACGGAATACAGAAAAATGATAGTTACTTATTTTTTTCAATAATTGCTCTGACTCTTGCTCATATCAACGTGTGCATATCAAAACAAACCTGTATATGAAACTGTGAACAAGTTCCATCAAGCAATAGGACGAAAACATCCAGGATATTAGATAATCCACCCTTGAATCCTGATTTATCGCCTTGCGATTATCAAATATTTTGTCCACTGAAAAAGACGTTAAAATAAAATCGCTTTCAGTCGTACGAAGGAGTATAGTATAAAATGCCGTAAAAGAATTCTCTCGATCAACAGTGACGAGAAATCTCTAAGCAGGGCATACATCGGCATCAGTTGGTGAAGCAATGGAATATGTGCTTTATTGTAGTGGTAATTATTTCTAGATATATCTGTGTAATTTTTTACTGAACCAAAGATGGGTTTCAATTGAACAAGACTCGTATATTCTTCATGAAGACGATAATTATAATTTATCCAGGAACTTTTCCTACAATATATACACTGAAAACATTGATTGTGACAGTACACATTGCGTATATTGCGTAATTTATTTGTGTAGAATAGACTTAGCCTGAATCGTTCTTCTTAATTATTAAATTCCGTAATAATATCTTCCTGTTTAGGACTCAGTCTTTCAATTCGATTGTTTTAACGATTCCATTTCAAGTCAACATTGTCGATTACCGAATGAAATAATAGCCTTATCCAATACATATTATTAACTTAAATGTCTTCCTTGCATTTTACAAAAATTATGATCGTCACAGCCAAGTGCTAGTTCTTTTATCCCATTATTAAATTGCTGCTGTAACAATTTATATAGCATTTTTTTCTCGATTGATTTAACTATAACTTTTACTAAAGTGACGAGTATATATACATTTTTAAAACCGTTTAATTACAATATTGATTAGTCATTCTTGTTTTGGATCTAAAAATACACCTATGCGCAAAAATTCTAACGTTTTAATGTTGGTAATTAGATGTTCAAATTTGGCATTCTATTTTAGTTTTATCGCGATCTAAATGCTCGAATCATGACAAAATTTTATTTATTGTTCGTCGCATGAAATCCCTACTGGATATTCGCCATCAAGTAAATTGCTACTTGTAATTTTTGTGTGGTATTTGCCTACACCAATTTTTCAATTCTATATACAGGATTTTTCAAAAGTTTGTGTGGTATTTGCCCACACCAATGTTTCAATTCTATATACAGGATTTTTCTAAAGTGCTAAGATTTGATATACCACAAAAATATTTTTTTATTAAACTGCAATTAAATGCAACTGCCATGTATCCTCTATTTGAACGATCTTATATATATTTAACATGAAGTATCCTTTCTATAAACGTGTTATATCCCATTGTTATATCCAAGAATTGTGAACTGTAGCAAAACATAATATAGAAATATTTCTTCTAAGTGAAGTTCTATCTGTTTTCATACTTGAGTTATTTTGATACTATCTGTCACTCCTTTATAATTTAAATTTTTATCCAGCGAGTTTATTAACTAAATATGTGAAAATTTTTTTTATAGGTAATGGCACGATCGATTTCCCTGAATTTTTAACGATGATGGCACGTAAAATGAAAGATACCGATAGTGAGGAAGAAATTCGTGAAGCATTCCGAGTGTTCGATAAAGACGGTAATGGTTTCATCTCTGCAGCAGAATTGCGCCACGTCATGACCAACTTGGGTGAGAAATTGACAGACGAAGAAGTCGATGAAATGATTCGGGAGGCCGATATCGATGGTGATGGTCAAGTCAATTACGAAGGTAAGTTCTTTTAGTTCTAGTCAGCTGTCAAATGTCAGAATGTCACTGTAGTTTTTTAGTGAATCTTTTATAATGGGAAGTCATTGTAAAAATGGGAAGCTTCAGTTGGATAACTTCTTGAGGAATATATTAGTTCAGATGGTAGGTTATTTGACCATTCACGGTCAAGACTTAAAAGTCTTAGTTTTTTTTACTACACTTACTTACATTGCATAAACACAGGAAGTTAACATCATAGTATCCTGTAACAATGACTTCTCATTGTGTAAACATATTTCTGTGCAGTGACAAAACAGAAATACTGAATCCTTGGAAAGAATTAATGCATCAATTGTAAATTTAGCATTAGCTTGACAGTATTGTGCTAATTAATGTGAACACGAGTGATAATTTTGAAAATAACAATGTTTATTAGTTTTTAATAGGTGTGTTCTTCCTTCGCTTTTATAACTGCTTGTGCGTATTTTGGCATATAACGAATTATATTTGTTACTGATATTTGCTAGCCTTGAAACATATCCGAATTAGAGCCTCGAGTCAGTATTTTTGTTGTGGAATCTATTTTTTACAAAGTCTAGATTGTACAATCTTCAGTAAGGTTTTTGTTGTCACTTTAGCCTAACGGGATAGCTGACCTTATACCAAAATCTTATAGTAGTCGTTAACATCTTAAAAGATCATTCATCATTGATGAACTTTTTGATCATTGATGATCCCAACTTACGAAAACTTACGAAAATGACAATAGACGACTCGACAGCAACAGATGAACGCCATCTTCAACAATATAGAAATGGGAACTGGAGTAAGACAAGGCCACTCACTAATGAATGCCGCGATAAAATATCTAAACAGTTTAAAAGGAAGAATTTGCGAAGTTATGCAAGGAAGCATTCACAAGAGGTTTGGTAATAGCCAAAATAAAACAAAGTATCTAATATGTTCCAGGAAAAATCCAATTAATACGACAGAGATAAATATTGAAGAAATGAGTTTGAAAAGGTAAAACACTTTAAGTACCTATGGGTCTCAGTTAATAGAATATTAATAGAAGCATGGTAATCAACGAACGAATTATGGAAGGAAATCCACTTATTGGAACTACAACAACTATCTCAAAGATAAGAAGCCTACTCAGAATCACGTATGGTACTGAAGTAATATGTCTGACATCATCACAACCAACACCTTGAAAGATGTGTTGTGGTTCATCATTGAGATTGATAAGCAGGCATTTGATTGATATGACACTGTTGTGTTATATCGCGTTTCTACCGCATTGGCACTGATTCTGAAGCCTCCCTTAAACCAACAACCGATTCATTTTGTGATCGCTTCCATGGATATAATAAAAGAACTTTAAAATTTCAGATTGGTGGTGCCTCTGCGAACCACGTGGCCGAAGAATTAAAGAATAGGTTGCAGACATATTGTGAACAGACTTTTTTTAATCTCTAGTTGGTTTACAATGGAAACGTTTGTCCTCTGAGCTGTCCAAAGGTATGCAGATAGATATCCTGATATAGTCGGCTAATAAGGCGCGAGTCACACCAGGTACACTCATTGCCGTCAGTATGTTCCACAGTTTTTCCCATCCAACATTGTGAAATGCCTTAATAGGGCCCTTTTTATGATATTTCTTATATTAAGGATTTGTTCTCTGGTACCTCTGTCATTCACAAGTCTAGTCTACTCAGGTGTTATTTGTCAATATATGAATTTTTTTAGATGAGGTTACATATCGTATATAGGAGCACTTTGCTACTGTAAATTAGTAGTCTATAGTTATTGCAATTCGTTAGACCTTTTTATGTACAGGTATGGTTATGGTCTTTCTCCAATTCTCAGACAAGATACCTGTGTACCAGATCTGATCGCACAATCGATGTTATATTCTTCACAGACCACATACAGGAAAATGATTTAAAACTATAATAATGCAATCATAGCCTGCTGTTTTGTGTATCTTTAGTCTTTTCAGAGCAAATTCAACCTGGTTGTCAGGTTCCGATTTAAAGACTGTGTTTGTCGATGTCTAGGAGACTAGTGCTATGTGTCATTGCTAAAGGAGAGTGGATCTCCAAATATATATAACTTTGTCCAAATCTGTCTGTACATTGCCTTCATCATATTTATTATATCAAAATTTATGCTCAAATTTACATGTTAGTAGTGTGACTTTATCGAAGCGTTCTTTAGTATTATTCATCATCATGTTGTTAAACCAAAATATAATTAATAACAAAAAAAAAACAGGAAAAACAAGACTTCTCCAATTTTCAACGTGTTAGCATTGTTTTTTTGATGTCTGATTGCTTTCTTCCACATTCTGTAAATAACTTTTGTACAGTAGAGTCATGAACAATAATTCTCTATCTTTCTCTTCCTTCAACATTTCCCTTTCTTGTTCCCCTAATGATTAATTAACAATCTTAGCACGCGTTTGTACAGTAGTATCAATTCTTCAAAAATAAGAAACAGGTAAAGCCTTAGTTCAGGTTACTATAATTATAATTACGTATATAAAGCATAATTCTATAAAGCCTGTGGTTTGATATGTATCGTTACTGAATGACTGAGTTAGAATCTGTCACTACTTTGACATAGATGTGTTGTCAAATGCCAAACAAAGTAACATTGGAAATATGTGTTCACACTACTTAGTACAATACTCTAAATATGCAATAAATATGTCAGTCATAGTATTATTCACAATTGTAAATGAACTCATTATATATGTTTGTTTAGAAGTGCTCAGAATTATATGAAAATATATTCGTTGTGTATAGCGGAGTGTTCGATCATTAAAGAAGCAAAAATTGAATGGCATATAAGCACAAATTGTTTTGCTTTCCAAGTGCCTTAATTTTTTCCATAACTTGGGTTTCAGATCTTTTGTTTAAACTTTTGTGTTTGTCCATATTTCTATTTTGAAACGCTACGATACGTTGCGATATTTGCTTAATGTGTCGAAAGATTGAATTGTTGGGTATTCTTTTGTTATAAAAAATATTTTCTTACATAATATATTGAGAAAATGTGATGAGCGAACGACAATACAGTAAAACTAACTGAGAATAACAAAAAATGCAAGCTATCAAAATTCATATCGAAGTGGTAGTCCGAGAATTTTGATTTTCACGAGTTATTTGCAGCACATAATTATATAGACATACTTAGAATTTGGTTCTTTGGTTTGGAACATCGGAAAAATTGAAACGAGAATGGTTGACAAATAAAAAACCGAACAAATTATGGAGTAACATGACATCACAGACGAAATACGAACCAAACAATTTTTATATATACACATATAAAATGCTAAAAAACAGCATTCTAAAGATTATTTGAAGGAATCCAAAAGGAAGGAAAAAACTAGAAAGACCACGGAAAAGTTGAGAGAAGACGTTGATAAAGTGATCAGAGAGGGTGCTTTTGAAGATAACATATGGAGAAACAAAGAGGGAGTAGTGGGATGGCACCTATAAAATAGTGGATGTAAATAATTATGCTCCATGTAAAATTCTTAGTTTACGAGTGATTGGCTGTACCATAAAAACGGCGTTATAATTGGGCATAATTGGGTATAATTACTATAACATTTGGAATGTGAGTGATAACTTTTCGTAAATGATTGTATATGTTGTCTTGTGCATAAAAATATGTCTGGATCTACCTAAGTAATATCGTAGTCTTCTTTCTCTTTATAAACTCGGGTTAATTTTGAATTGGTCGTTCTATCTTACTATATTCTATATTACAAAATTTGAAACTGCCCGAAGATATGACCAATTCAAGTAATATTAACTTGGGTTTTCTTAAGATCTACTGTGTTTTATAAACTGCTGTTTGAGTTATACTTTCGTATTATTTTGTTTTTAATTACGTTTTAACAGTTAATCTTTTTATATAAATTCATTACATTTTATAAAAATCTTGATATTAGATGTCTCATACTTCATATTGATCTAGCTACTTTTTATGGCTTTTTTTTCCATTGAAATGAGTTTGCGTAATAAACTTTTTAGGCTTCTTAAAAGTCAATTATTCCTATACAGCTGTATCTTAATTATCGTACATGATGGTTAAGCTATACTAAATAAAATAATTATTTCTTCTCTCGAGAAAAGTTCAGTTTCCTATATTTCAATGAAATAAAAACTTTTTGTTGTGAAATCCTAATAAATCAATACGATTATTTTATAGCATGGTCAATGTTAAACGATAATTAAATTCATATTATTTTGTTTGGACTTTACTCGACTTTGCTGTGAACCCTATACTGTATTTAAGTTCTGTAGAAGGGCGTAAAAAATCCGCCTCAGTGCCAAAAAAATTCGTTATATCTCATCCAAGAAACTTTTTTTTTATTCTTTTTCAAGAATATATCCAATTCGATACATTTTTAATTTACTTTACTTTTCTAATATTCTGGTTGTGGCTTTTTTTAGTTACTAGGCACAAACTTTACTCTGAAACTATTTAAAGTATTAATAAGAAACGATTTCCAGGGAATCTTTTAAATAATAACGTACTTCATTCGGATGCTATTAATTATAGCATTATAAATTTTCTTTTATTTTGGTGTTATCAACATTTTAGTTTATTCCGGAAGACAAAAGCTACTATCTTTTCTATTTTCACATCAGAGGAGTCGCATGTTTAATATTCGTTTACCTGAATTAGTATCATAGATCAGACGATATGTAAGTGTCACTAGAAATCATAATTGCATTACGCATGGGTTCTCAAAAGTGGGTTTAACTTTTTAGAAAAAATATTAAAAAAGTTCAAGAAAATGTCAGTATAATTAATTCCGGTTTGTTATGTTATACTGCTTTTAGAACAATTTTCAATAGGAATGAGATAGGTAATTAAATTTTACATAATATAAATGAGGTTGCAAATCTTTAAAATTATTATAAACGAAACAGTAGTAAAAATCACAAAAAAAAAAATAGTTAAAAAACCATTTTTGCGATTTTATTTATCATATTTAT